ATAGTTGCCATCGTGTAGATATATATATATATATATATATATATATAAAGTAGTATTTTTTAAAAATCTAATTGACTACAAGTCTACAAAGATTTATAATCAATTAAAATATTGATTAAGAAAATAGAATAAAAATTATTAAATTAGATTCAAATGATGTTTTAATATAAATAATAATTTTTAAATCTTGCTCAAACCCTTATAGTCTTATGACTACATGATTATGATTGTTAAAAAGACTCTTTGTTCGTGGACAGCTCGTGAACGAGCCGAACACGAACACATTTTTTGAGCTCGAAATATAAACGAGCTTACACCCCTATATGCATGTAAATCTTCCTATTTAAAAATACTATGCCTAAACAGTAAATTTAAGTAACTATTTTCATGCAAGATTCAGCACAAAGAATAAAGAGAGAGGACAGAGCCGAACTGAACATTCAAGTTTCATTCTTTGCCATTGACTTTAGTGCTTCATAGCTCAAAATACTAATAATAAAAGAGACCCGTTTTTCAAAAAGCCTCCTCTATTTAAGCTAACCCGTTGACAACAAGCCACCACTTACAATTTCCGAAGAATGTGAGGAAAAAATAGGAAAGAGAAAAAAAATTATCTAAATTTCAGATCTGAATTTAATCACATGTACAAATGATTCTTTTAAAATAATTTAAATAGCTATTAGTTATATAGCTTAAGTATATATTGATTGAGTAGGTATTATAATTAGAAGATTCATCATGGTCATATTTAGAGTACTAAACAAAGATTTACATTCGTATCGATGAATCCAAAAGTGTATGAGAAACACACCAACTGAATAGAATGTTTTGTTAGGAAGTAATTAGAGAGAGAGAGAGAGAAAACACAATAGAGAACAATAAAAGGGACGGTAGTCTTTATTCATGATATGGACTTCCTATTTATAGACATAAGTCCCAGTATTGCAAAAAAACAATATTGGTCCTCTCATCATTGCCTTTTCAAAGGGAATTTTTAGTAATTACAAATTAGCATGTAATAAGGCTGAGGAACTGATTCGAATGATAATAGTTTGTCGACCATCAGTTGAGTCTTGGCTTGATGGATATCTAATCTGAAAGATAACCTTCTATTGAATATCGTATTGAGGGCTAATTCGCGCTCTGCCGAAAATCTTCTAGCACGTTCCCCCGATCACTCGAACAAGGTGCCTCCCTTGCCAATATCGAGCTCAAGACGGTCGTCAACAAATATATTCGATCGTCAGTATCATCCTATTGAGCCGTTCATCTGCCCTAAGATTTGTACTGACATATTATTATATGTACAATATCACTCAATTTTATGTATTTACATATCCAACATTGAAACTTTAATATTAATTTATGTCATATAGGTACATAGCACCCAATTCCTATTTATTTATATTTCTAAAATCAAAATTTCACTTTTTATACTTGTAGCACCCAAAACTTTCATATCACATAAAAATATCACTATTTTAATTTTAAAAAAATGTGAATTATATATTTTCATGCATAAATAAGATGACATAAATATATTAAAAAAATTAAAATTTAGCCGTTAGATATATAATTTCATAGAAATTGAGTGATATGCAAGTAAATCTATTTATTTAATTATTTATTGATCATTTGAGCGTCATATAATCGCCTCAAAGAATATACATCAAATTTGAATATAAGTGATATTTTTATATGGTGTTAAAAGATTTAAATTTTATGTAAAAAATTATTAAATTTTATATGTTAATTAAATATATAAATACAATCCAATTGTGTGATATGCATGTAAATCCCCCCAAAATTTAATATGAAATTTTAAATACTTGCCACCTAATTCTCATATATTTATGTATCTAACACAAAACTTTGTTTCATATCATACTAACAGTATAAATATTTTAACTTTAGAATATGAAATGCATATTTCTTATACAAGTAAGATGACATATATATATATAAAATGAAAATAAAGAAGGAGGCCATGGCTATAGGGCTCTTTCGAAAGATCTCCACGGTTCAATAAAACTCTTTTAAAAATCACTTCTAAGTAACGGTCATCTTCATCTACGATCTAAAATGGTGAAAAATAACTATTCTGCTGAACAACTTTGAGAGATACTGTTTTACCAAACGAAAATAAATCTGCACGGGAATTTTGCTGCAACGAAATGAAACTTCATTGTCTTCTTTGAGGAGCACTTAGAGGACTATCTCTTAGCATTTGGAGTTGCATGCAGAACTACATGAGCCATTTTCTACTGGTACGTACATTTCTTCCTCCACTTCCTATTCATTATTATATATGTCTATTACATTACTACCTTTGTTTTCTCAATTATGGAAGAATGTGAGGAAAAAATAGGAAAGAGAAAAAAAATTATCTAAATTTCAGATCTGAATTTAATCACATGTACAAATGATTCTTTTAAAATAATTTAAATAGCTATTAGTTATATAGCTTAAGTATATATTGATTGAGTAGGTATTATAATTAGAAGATTCATCATGGTCATATTTAGAGTACTAAACAAAGATTTACATTCGTATCGATGAATCCAAAAGTGTATGAGAAACACACCAACTGAATAGAATGTTTTGTTAGGAAGTAATTAGAGAGAGAGAGAGAGAAAACACAATAGAGAACAATAAAAGGGACGGTAGTCTTTATTCATGATATGGACTTCCTATTTATAGACATAAGTCCCAGTATTGCAAAAAAACAATATTGGTCCTCTCATCATTGCCTTTTCAAAGGGAATTTTTAGTAATTACAAATTAGCATGTAATAAGGCTGAGGAACTGATTCGAATGATAATAGTTTGTCGACCATCAGTTGAGTCTTGGCTTGATGGATATCTAATCTGAAAGATAACCTTCTATTGAATATCGTATTGAGGGCTAATTCGCGCTCTGCCGAAAATCTTCTAGCACGTTCCCCCGATCACTCGAACAAGGTGCCTCCCTTGCCAATATCGAGCTCAAGACGGTCGTCAACAAATATATTCGATCGTCAGTATCATCCTATTGAGCCGTTCATCTGCCCTAAGATTTGTACTGACATATTATTATATGTACAATATCACTCAATTTTATGTATTTACATATCCAACATTGAAACTTTAATATTAATTTATGTCATATAGGTACATAGCACCCAATTCCTATTTATTTATATTTCTAAAATCAAAATTTCACTTTTTATACTTGTAGCACCCAAAACTTTCATATCACATAAAAATATCACTATTTTAATTTTAAAAAAATGTGAATTATATATTTTCATGCATAAATAAGATGACATAAATATATTAAAAAAATTAAAATTTAGCCGTTAGATATATAATTTCATAGAAATTGAGTGATATGCAAGTAAATCTATTTATTTAATTATTTATTGATCATTTGAGCGTCATATAATCGCCTCAAAGAATATACATCAAATTTGAATATAAGTGATATTTTTATATGGTGTTAAAAGATTTAAATTTTATGTAAAAAATTATTAAATTTTATATGTTAATTAAATATATAAATACAATCCAATTGTGTGATATGCATGTAAATCCCCCCAAAATTTAATATGAAATTTTAAATACTTGCCACCTAATTCTCATATATTTATGTATCTAACACAAAACTTTGTTTCATATCATACTAACAGTATAAATATTTTAACTTTAGAATATGAAATGCATATTTCTTATACAAGTAAGGTGACATATATATATATATAAAATGAAAATAAAGAATGAGGCCATGGCTATGGGGCTCTTTCGAAAGATCTCCACGGTTCAATAAAACTCTTTTAAAAATCACTTCTAAGTAACGGTCATCTTCATCTACGATCTAAAATGGTGAAAAATAACTATTCTGCTGAACAATTTTGAGAGATATTGTTTTACCAAACGAAAATAAATCTGCACGCGAATTTTGCTGCAACGAAATGAAGCTTCATTGTCTTCTCTAAGGATCCCTTAGAGGACTATTTCTTAGCATTTGGAGTTGCATGCAGACCTACATGAGCCATTTTCTACTGGTACGTACATGTCTTCCTCCACTTCCTCTTCATTGTTATATATGTCTCTTACATTACTACCTTCGTTTTCTCAATTATTTTTCTTATTATTATAAGGTTTGTGGTCTCCCATGTCTGAGGAAGCTTCAATGGGATACTGGAAAGATGTAGTCGGCAGGTGGTCCGAGCGATACAAGCGGCGGAAAACTTCGGCGGCAGTCTCGCCGGCTGTGGCAGCGGAGGACTTTTCCTCACTTAGTTCTCCAAGTCTGAAATATATTTTCTTAGCTTTAATTATATCACCGAAACCACTCACCGGTTAAAAATTATGATTTGCATTTAAATTATTCCCATAAAAATTTAATTTTTAACTCTTTGAGTTTAAAATAAAATAAATGCATTTTAATTATAATTCATTTTCTTCACAGATCTCTATAAATTAATCCAAAATTAACTGATCCTTCTTCACTTCCCAGATCAGAACGAATTCAACTTCACCAATCACATAAACAGATTATGCTCAGAGAAGAAAGAAACAGAACAAAAAGCTGCAACAGAATGGTTGAGGAAGAAGGAGAAGAAGGAGAAGGTAGCTTATCCTTTTGCTGTGCTGAAGCCGACGGAGGTTGAAGGTAAGTTAACGCTTGCAGAGATAAATGAGCGGATTCTCAGGCGGCCGAGGAGGCCGGTGAGGCATCCGGTGGGGGAGTTTGCTTGTTTGCCGTGGGTGGTGAAGGGCGGCGACGGGCCGGGGCTCTCCGGCAAAGCGGTGGTGGGGGTTACAAGGGTGTGCACTAAGGGGAAGGGTAGTATTACTGTGATAAGGACTAGGGGGTTGAATTAATTAGTTCTTAATTTTGCTTTTTTTGATGTTAATTAAGCTTATTTGTATAGGTCGGACTTTAGGGTGATTGTGAATTTATATATGTTAATGTAATGGTGCTGAGGTTTTGTGTGTTGATTGTGGTTTTAATATATATATAAGGAATTGTCTGAAGCTATTATACGAGCCTCACCTATCCTCAATGCGCCAAATAATTTGAGTACTACATCTTTCACACAGGGGAAATCAAACCCAGACCAGAGAGGATGCATGAATCCTTTTTCTATCAAGAAGATGTCCGACCAACTAACCTGAGTACGCAGCACACACACACACACACACACTATATATATATTGGGGTCGGTTACATGAATCTTTTTTCTCCATTGTGTCATATTCAGTGTCATATTTTCATTTAATTCGACTAAATTAAGAGCAATTTTTGATACAACATGCTCATATCTTCTTAGGTCTATGTCTACATTTCTTAGTTGAATTTAAAACAAGTACTATTTTAATCCGATCATCAACTAATCAACATTTAATATGACAAAAAAATCTAAGATGGCTATCTAAAATCTTGTTCGTCATTGAAGCTATACCGGCCCTTTCATAGATATATTTGTTTCGCTTTTTCTCTCAAGTGTAAAGCCACATCCAACTAAGTTAGTTTTATGCTTTTCTTTTATAAGCCAATATTTTGTGCCATTGTATTGAAGTTCTCACAATCTCATAAAATTAGCATGCAAGTCTCTTTTCTATCACACATGAGCCTGATGCAATATTCTTATACTTTAACGATCCAATTTGAATTATACTAATAAAATTCTCATTATATCACCATGACTTTGAATTATATATATATATATATATATATATATGCGCTGCGTACTCAAATCAATTGGTCGTGCATCTGCTTGTCAGATGTAAGTCTCCTATAGTGTGGGGTTCGAATCCCTTCAATAGACGGTATGATACTCGAATTGTTAGGCTCATAGGGGATAGCCAGAGCTCATACAATAACCTCATGTCATTCCTTATATATATATATATATGTGTGTGTGTGTGCGCGCGCGCGCGCGCGACATGAATCTATAGATTATATATGTAGATTAAATTAAATAATAATAATAATCCATCATAGGTCACAAACAAATTATCATCATTCTACATGAATCTCGAGACGATTTTTAAGCAATAAACATTCAAATCTTGATAAAAAGTCATATAAAGCTCCAATTTAAGCAAACTTATATAGTCAAACTGATCTGTTTAATGAGACAGACCTAATGATATGAAAACTAGTCCAATCCAAGTCAAATCAAGCCCATAACAAGTCATTAAACCACAATTAGAGGATTTCAATACATAATTGGAATGTCAAACTGATTCTCAATCTGACAAACTTACAGTCAAATTAAGTGTCTCGCGAGCGACTCGACAAGACGAATCCAACGAGCCCAATATTGCTCAATTATAACATCATTAAGATACTCAAATGTACATTAAACGTCGTATGATCGATGGAAGCTCTCCGGACTTTACGATCAAAATGGTTTATATTTTTGCAATAATTTCACCCAGAACACTATAAATAGAGTCCCACCCATCACATGAGGGGAAATGAGAGAGAGAGAAAAAAACTTGAGGTTTTGGGAAAGAACTCAAGTCTAACATCAACCACCACCAACCGTCGGCGACTACCGCCAACCTCTGTCGACCACCGTCGACGACCGCAGATCACCCTCGTCCTCTGTCGACCACCATCGACGGTCATCGACCGTTGTCAACTTGCACCTAACGTCATCAATCACCAACAACCAGACGCTTTCAGCAACATTGTAATATGAAAAATATAATTATCATTTCCTATCTGTGGGGCAGAGAATTTCTGTAATCATCAATCAATAGTAGATTTTCACAACTGAATCAGCCCTGTGATTTTTCCCTCACTAATTTTTCACGTAAAAATTTATGAAATTATCACCATTTATTATTTTTTTTTATCTGTCTGTATGTTGAATAAAATTTTGTGGGAGGCATCAATCGTAGAAAAAAAGAAAAAAATAAAATTAGGACTCCATCGAATGAAGGCAGTGCGGAGCACACGCAGCACCACTGAGCGGGGAGTTTCGATGGTTGCGATCGCCGCTTACCTTCCCCCACTTCCGACGCATTTTGGCTCGAAACCCGGTGACCTCCGGCGATTTTGGTTCACTTCTCCGGTGAGTTATTTTCTCCATTATCACTTCTGAGGTAAGAAGTATCACGAGTAGCCCTCACCCATTTGTGTTTTCAATTCTCTGAAACACAAGCTGGATATCGCCACCATTCCGTGGAATCGTAGCTTTCAATGGCATGGGAGTGAGAGTGGAGCGTTGGCTGTGCGTTTTCGTCCCCCTCGTGCATCGATTTCTACGACGACGGAAGGTTAGGCGATTTTGCTTTGCTCACTGTTTCCAGGGTAGTCGGGATTTTGGGCGCGTTTATTAGACGGATATGCGCTGCAGGAACTTCTGATCAGGAGCTTAGATTGGTGCTTGAACTCGCTACGGACGAGGAACTCTATGAGTTGGAGAATATTCTCTACGGCCGAAGGTGTGCTTCTATCTTGCTCTTTCTCTTCAATTATTACCTGTTTTCTCTCCATTGCTTATTCTAGGAAGAGTTTAGTCGAACATGACGTGACTGATTCTTTGTTTTTTAGATAATGGTTGCTCTAGGGGTTGTTTGCCTGCCTATAAGATTTATGTCAAATAGCATTTAGTAAATCCAGTAAATCCGGATTTATGGACACCAAATGCTGAAAATCTAGAATAATGTTTAGTTCAATTTAAGGTTAAATCCATTAAATTCATTTATGATGTTTGGCATAAATCCACCCCTGCGACTTTCTTCCCAAGTTAAATCTATTAAATTCACGCAATAATTGGATTTAATAAATCTGGATTTACGTTAAAAAAAGTAACGGAAGGGAAGAAAATTTGGATTTAGCTAAGTCCGGATTCAATTTGTCCATTTTTTTTGTTTGGCTTGATTTAGGTTAATCGTGCTAAAATCTGGCTACCAAACACCCCCTTAGAAGAGCTTTTCCTGGAAACATTGCCTAGTGCCGATATTTTATTATCAAATTTGATCTTTTTTTTATTATTCTATATTATTTTTTTTGGAGCTCGATCGATGCCATAAAGAAAACATTAAGATATTAACATCAATAAATACATTTACTAGGAAAAAAAAAAAACTTGGAATCATGAACATGAGAAAAAGTTTTTATTTTTAAATTTCATGATACAAGGTTTTTGGAAGGTGTTATGGTTTAGTTTTATGTTCCTTGTTAGATTTAAGTGGTACAAAAACTTTGTGTTTTGCATGATACAAAAACACATTATTTTGCAACCAAACTGAAGGACAAAAATCAACACCAAAAACCTTACATGGCCACCACCAAACTCAGAAATAAAGTTTTTCAATAACTTAAACAATCAACTTCAAACTTTCAATAGGAGTCGTAGGTCGGAAACAACCCATTTTTTGGGTGGGCAAACTTTTAAATAATTAAATAATATAATAATGAAAAGATAAAAATAAAAACAATTAAATAAATAAAACTACATACATCTAGTAAGATAATACAATTAAATTTATAATTTAAAATTATTAATCAACATGAATGTATGAATTTATAAATATACAAATAGATAAGGGGTATGTTAAGCATTCTTTGATAAGAATGGGGCAAAACTATAAATTGAGGATGGACAAACTTATAAAAATTGATGTCTTATAAAAGAAATAAAAAAATTGAGGGTACCTGCCCTCACATTCAGGTGGTTTAGCCACTGCCAGAAATCTTCTACTGAAATAATAAAGCAAAATTATTCTTAACCACAGAAATTCCTGAGCCATTAAGAAGTGTGTGAATAAAGATTTAAAGTTTGACAACAACGACATTTAGAAGTAAGATTCAATCAATATAACACTTGCATTTAGAATCAAGATTCGGTACAATGACATTTATATGTAAGATCAAAATCCAGAATAAAAAATTTAAAAAGTCCCTTGTGCTTTAGTCTTAAATTTCATAATTTAAATTTTTCATGTAATTAAGCATCTCTTCAGCAAATTCTTGAATTTTCCCATATAAATCCAAAATCTCATTCTCAGACACCATACATTGGAGAAAATATTTGACTCCAACGTTTTTTAGAAGAAAGACATAAGGTTGTGGCATTCTCTATCTTACTCAATAAGAAACGTAGTAGAGCCCTAAATGAAGGATACAAAATGGCATAGCTTCTTAGTTTTCGTGGTTTAATAAAATGATGAGGAGACAACCTTTGAACAAATCCTTAAATAAGATTAAAAAACACCTTGGATACTACACCAAATCTATTCATTCAATGCTTAAGCCATGGCAAGAGCAAATCATTACCAAATTCAAAAGTGGTAGGTTGAAGTTTAAACTAAACGTAGATGGATCACAAATTCATTAATGTTTAAATTTATGTCTTAAGGGCTCAACCCAATGCAGATTGAGCTCATACCAAAGAAATAAAGTAATAAAAAAAATCTAAATTATGTCAAGGCCAGAAGTTGGGGATTGACCGCCTGGATGAACACAATCATCACGATCTTTGAGTTCTATGGGATTGAATGACTTAACACGGCGTAACGATGGATGATCGTAGAGTTTAGGAGCCATCTTCTTGATGACTGTTTGTATGCCATCAGCTCAAGAAGGCAAATGGTTGTGCTTTGAAAATCATTCACATCAACAACATCAATAAAAAACGACATTCTTCATTCCAAAAATGAAGGACTTACCGTACCTACCTTAAATCGCCATGTTTGGCTCAAGACAAGAGATGATTCAATTCCAAATTGACTTGGCTCCGAACAACGACAAATGGCTTAAATGTGAACAACTTGAGAATATCATTGAAGCACTCCGTCTTCTGGATTTGTTTTCAAAATATAAAAATCTTAATTCCATTTTCTCAATTTGAGTGCACAAAATGTTGTATGCATTCTCTTCCCTTTCAAGATGTTTTTCCAAAACATCATAAGAATCTCCAATATTTTGAAACAAATTTTTCAGCAAGTAAAAATTATCAAAGAAACACCCATCCATAATCATGGCTCTTCATCTCAACTTCAAATTCAAACTCAAGATCGACAATTCAAGCTCCACTGGTAATAGCTTTTTGCACCAGAAGAACCCCTCCTCGACAGAAGGTATCCCCAACAAACATTTGATCAAATATCACATGCAATCATCATTAAGGACATGAACTTTTAGGTTCATTTGCTCCTTAATCTTATGACATTCACAACTATATAAAGTGTCACCAATTTTGACAGTATCATGTTTGGACCTTCCTTTGATTCTCGTATCCATTTACACAAAATCTCTCTTGCAAAAAAAAAAAATTAGCCTGAACCTTTGATAAACTATGCCATGTAGCCTTTGGATATAGTGCTGTGATACTCGAGATAACATCATAAGAGTCTACTAGAGGATGATTATCAAATCCCTCATGCGTGACTCCACGGGAGTTTGCATCATAGCAATAGTAATTGATGTTTGGGTTAATACCCATTCTTTGACAAACTTCACATGGTGAAGTGAAATAATAAAATTAAATATCATCGCATAAGTCAAGAGGCTAGAGGAAGGAAAGTGTAGCGTTATTAAAACTTAATATTATCAAATGCTGCTTTGCAAACTTAAACCATGGTTTAAGAATTTGGGGAATAGATGGAAGTTCCAAATTCACTAACCTAGACCATGTCAATATAGGACCAACATGTGCATAAACTAACTAAATTTCGCTTTCAAAATGAATTGATCCAAGTCAACTGTTTGTGATAGCCGGTTGAGAGAGATTCCTCTGAAAGATTAAATAACACATAAGAATCCTGGAAGATCTTTGAAGAATCTTTTAGATTAATGAGATATAATGGTTTACTCAAAATTAGTCAGTGATGATTTATTTACATGGACCAAAAAAGTGATGGAAGTGTAATTTTTTATTGATTTAAGATTGTAGGTCCTGCCACCTATGCGTGAGTGTTTATATCTTAAACAATTTAATTTGGGAGGACTTTTTTTTTTGTATAAGAAAAATTTTTAGAGCATATAACGGATTACTTTTAAATGAATTTAGATTCTTTATGTTTCTAATTTTTAGAAGGTTTCATCTATATCTGGATCAATAGTCTTATACTTTCAAATCAGGAAATAATATTTACTGATATGTCAGTGTAGATGTTGTATGTGTATGCTATAACCATTTACAAACTTTATACACTTAATTTTTTTATGTTTTTTTGCTGTTTGGATGCCTCAATTATACAATTTTTCTCTTTAAGTGACATAATAAGAAAATTCCACTGTTTCCTCTTTTCTTTTATAGCATGTTTCAATTGAACCAATAAAGAAGGCTCCACTACTTCCTCTTCTTGAAAGTCATTAAGTTTTTAGACAAAATCAATACTTTTCTTTACTGGTGAAGGGTCATTTTTGAGTGCTTTCGGGTTGCAGTTTTAATCACTATCAAAGTCTCCTCTGATTTGGTGAAGTTAACTTTTTTTTATGATAATTTGCTCATTCTAATTGCAGCTACTTTAGTCCGTTGCTAAAGTCAATTTCTAGCAAACCAGATATTGATTATATTCTTGAAGAAGCAGATGACCAACAACGAGAGGATTACATAACACACCTTGAATCACGTTTCTTTTTCCTTGCAGCAGATGCTCGTTCTACACTAAGGTTTGCTTGATTTGTTTTTTTCTTCATTAAATCTAAAATTATGATGTGCTTAGAATAATTTCATTTTAGTCACTGAGTGCATTGCTGTAACTTAGATAACAATTGTTTATTCTCATCTAGTCACTTGATTTTACTTTTATATGCATCTATATGGGTTCATACGATGTAGAAATTAAAATTTTCATTATCCTGGATCAATGTCCTATTTTGTAAGAAATTGCCATTCGTTTAAATTTCATTTTTTTTCTTAGGCATGAATTAAAAGCAGCTCATAATCAACTCTCTTACTACCCAGTCTTTCTTTTTTAGTTTGTTGTAGCATTAAGATCACCACATCTTGTCAGGTATACTCCACAGGTTTGGCTGTGCTGATTTTTTATGATTTTAACATTTTACTCACTAGGAGTTAAAAGAAAAGGTAACCCTGAGAGTGTTTTTTGCAAAAGTGTCTGGTCATTAATGATATAGGACACACAATATTTTCTTGGAGTTAAAATTGTCTAAAATAGGAAAAAAACACACCCTCTTATTTTGGAAATACGATGCATATTTTCTTGAGGAGCCGGGCGTTCTAGGCCACAAATTCACAATACTAATACCCTTATGATGCTCAAACTGCTAATAAAAATATATCCTTTGATGACCCATCTTAATTTAGCTGACTGGCTACTCAAGTTTGATATGGAGAGTTTCTCGGATGTACCACATCGGCTCACTTGGGCATAAAATTTCAGTTTTTGGATATTGTATTTTTCTTAGAGGTACTTTAATTACTTAAAAAGGTAAGGAACAAAGTATTGTGTCCAAATTTGATCTTGAGTTTGAATATAATGTTGTAATTAATTTTGGTTGTGAAATGATGCGGTTAAAGTCTCTTTTGGGGGAATTTTATTTTCTAATTACTCAGCTTATGGTTTGGATTGTGACGATCATACTGTCATCTACATTGTCATAGCTGATGTTTTCACAAAATCCTTGGGTCCTTTACGTTTACCTTTATTATGCAACAACTAATAGCTAGCCAATAGTATGACATATCTAGAGGAGAAGCGCTAGGAAAATTTTAAATCAGGAAGGTTTTTTATATTGTCAAGTGCTATATATTTATTTTTTGTTTCTTAGATTACTGATTTAATTTGTTTAATAGAGATTCTTTGGTGGCAATACACGACAAAAAGGCCTTTCCTCTAACAGTTTGTGTTGTGTTTCTATGTTAGTTTTGTCTTTATTTGTCTTTAACTATTTGTTAAAAGCATCATTTATCATTTAAATTTTATTTGGTTCTTTTTAATTTTCGGTATGGCTGTTTTAACTTCAAATATGACTATAATTATAAATATTTTCCAGCTTCATGTAATTGGAAGGTTGATAATTGAAATATTTTGAGATTTGATTCTTATATGGTTTCATCTCTTTATGGATGCTTGAGGATTCACCTTTGCTTCACCTTTGATGATTCTATAACTTGATGTATCAAGAATCAATATCAACAATTTGAGGATTTGTTGGTGTTTTGTTTTTTTTCCCTATTTTCTATTGAATCCTCAACTTTTCTGCCTACCTATGTATCATTCTCTTTTGCGTTAAAAAATATTGAATTCACTATCATTGTGAAATTGAACTTTGTAAGATGGTATGAAAGTTTTCCTGTGATCACTTTGAATTTTATATTTGGTTTTTTTTTTGTTTGACAAGGGGTTGGAGGCCATCATACAGAAATGTCTTATTGGGTGTGAGAAGAAAGCTGAACATTTCATGCTCAAATAAACTGTCAACAGAAGACCTGGAAGTTGAAATTTTTCTTCATCTATTGCAGGATTATTCAAGGTATAAATGATGAGCTTTCTACATGGTTGCTGACTTGCCAATTATATTTTCTTCAAATTTAATTGTCCTAGTAGTAGAGCTAAAATAAATGCCAATTAAAAAATAATAATTATTTTAGTAGAGAAAGAATTAATTTTTGTCTGAGTTTATATCCATGAAATTATAACTACTCGCATTATTTTTGCCATTTAAGTATCTTGAATGATATGGTTGACTTATGCTCAGTGAAATTTCTGAATTTGAGAAAGAGGAACAAACAAGAAATAAAAATAGAGATAAATGACAGCTAACATAATGTGACCCATGCTCTTCCCACTAGATATGTAAATTGCTGAACACAAAAACAACAACAACAACGACAACAACGACCACAACAAGTCTTTATCCCACTAAGTGGGGCCGGCTACATGAGTCCTTTTTCTACATTACATCCTATTGAGTGTCATATTTTCATTTAATTCTAATAAATTAAGATCATTTTTTAAACACTTTGCCTAAGTTTTTCTAGGTCTACCTCTGTTTTTCTTAATATAAATTGAATCTAAAACATCTACTCTCCTAACCGGATCAGCAGATGGTTGACATTTAATATGACTAACCATCTAAGACAACTTTCTTTAATTTTGTCTGCAACCGGAGCTACACCAACCCTATCACGGATATATTCATTTCGCATTTTGTCTCTAAGTGTCAAGCCACTCATCCACTTAAGCATTCTCATCTTGGCAACCCTTTGTTTTATGCTTCTCCTTTAAGGGCCAGCATTCCGTGCCATAGAGCATTGCAGGTCTCACTACCATCTTATAAAATTTTTCTTTCAGCCTAATCGGTACTTTTCTATCACACAGTAGGCCTGAAGCATTCCTCCACTTCAACCAACCAACTTGAATTCCACTAATAACATCCCCATCTATATCATCATACTATTGAACTCTAGACTCGAGATATCTAAAGCGTTCACACCTTTTAATGATTTGATTACTCATAGCTAAAACTCTGCCAGTAGAGCTACTACTACTAAAATTACTTTCCATGTATTCAATTTTTGCTCTACTCAAATGAAGGCCCTTGGACTCCAATGTAGAGCTCCATATTTCAATTTTTTCTTGAACTTTTTATCTTGTCTTATCCACAAGAAGGACATCATCAGGGAAAAGTATACCCCAAGGTACATCCTCCTCTAAATGTCCAGTAAAGGCATCCATAACTGAAGCAAAACTTGCCTAGTGTTAATTGATCATAAATTTTTTATATTTGATGATTTTGATGTTAATATTCTCTTACCTAGACTTTAGAGGCCTTAAATGTATGTTGAAGCATGCCTTCTATTTCATGAGCCATATTTTTCTCTAAAATTTCATCACCAAATATGGTTTTGAATGCTAAATGTAAAAGAAACAATCTGTTATTTTTATGTAAATGATAGATGGATTTAGGCAAAAAATTGCAGCTTTGGTGATGTCTATGTTACGTTCTCATGCATAAAACTAATCCTAGACATAACAAGTACATTTATACTCAGCAATAATAATAATCAAAGACAAATTTCCCCTTAGGCTACGCGCCCTCGTAACAAATTGTTCCTATCTTTTGCCAGATTCTTTACTTACACTCGTCACCTCTTTAAGCTTTTTCACTCCAGTTGACTTTTGGTCATCCAGGAATTGTGATCTTATAAGCCTTTATATATGAAGAGATAATTGTCTTATTTAATTATGGTGATTAACGCGCTTTCTGGGCTTACTCGGCTTGAGACGTAGATCATTGTATTAGGGTAATGATGCTTGAGCCAAAGTCTACTCCTTGATGTCTACCTAGTAAAACCAGAACACAAGCTTAATTTTATTTTATTGAGACTATCTCTTGGGGAAATTACTCGAGTATAATCAACCTTAGGGAATTTGTTCCCTTTGGAATATTGATTGACCTAATTCCTTTGGTTTTATTTTAAAAAATTTAAACTGATAGTACAATTTTCGTGAGTATTTTATAGGAATTGAGATAAAACTTATTGGTTCTATTTTACTGGAATCTTTTATTATTCCTTTTTGTGCAATCTCTTATACGGAAAGATACTCCAACTCTATAACTAAGAATACATAGACTAATTTTTGGGGTATTGTGATGTTGATGATTCACAAAATTCTTGGTTAGGGACAAGTAGAATACTTGAAGAAGGGCCTAGAATCATGCCAATCTCCTAAACTTGGCTCTTAATTATCCTTTTCTTTTCCTTTATTCCATATCTAATTATATCCATTTGCTTTTCTATCTTGTTTTAATTTAATTTCATGGTTTTCTGTACTGCATCAAGGCCTCTAATGGTTTTTGAAGTTGAGAAATTCGGCTCTCTACTATGTTAAATATACTATATCCTTTTTATTGGTTGTCATTACAAACCTAATAACTGTTCTAGTCAGGAAAATAGTTCTCTGTCCTCTGTGGGGGAAGACAACAAACTCGCAAACGGAGGAAGTTTGGGTGTAGGACTTAGCCAATGGAAATTACAACTGCTTGGTGTCCTGAGAACTGGGGCAAAGGAATTCCAAGACATGATTTTGAAGGTATTTATTTCTGTTTTAAGTTTAGCGAAACAAAATGTGTAAAGTTCTATTTTATAAATTTTCTTATCTAGCGGACTTCATCCTTTAACAGGGAGGTGGCATGTTAACATTGTCAAGGATTTTTCAATTGGTATGAACGTGCTTCTCATACTTTGAAGTATGAAACATGGTATTTTTTTGTTGGTCGTCATTTTATCTATCACTAATTGAGTAGTTGGCTTGTTAGTTATCTAATAGATTCTCTGGAAAGTTGATAATGGAAGCCGCCAACTATGAGATAAAGCGTGAAATTATGAAGAGGGTATGCAACTTGATCATTATGGAGCTTTTCGTTCATTAATTGAATGCTAGTATTTGGTTTTTTCTATCCTCTTCATTTGGTCACAAGTGTTAATAGGAATTTAACATTTCAGAGTGAGAATAATTTGATTTTTTTTGTATTGTATTGAAGGTACACCACATGCTTCTAGGTTGCTTTTGCTAATGTTTATCCATGAAAACTACTATCCCCAATTGGTAAGTTAGTGAGGATGTTATTCCGCCAATTCATTAGTAGTTTGACAAAGTTTGACGAGAACTGTTTTTGAATGGTATGCAGAATTGCCAAATGATTATGTGAAGATGTTCGCAGAACTTGAAACAATGTTTATCTAGAGATTTGTTAGTGCAACAAAGAAAAAGACTATTGTTGACCTTGCTCTGGAGAAAAGGACGAAGATCGAGTCGGTTACAAAATATATCACTCGCTGGCATAATTTGAGTATGAAATGCAAACAACAATTGGAAGAAGAGCATGCAATTCAATTGTTGATGGGTAATATTGATGATAAGATAGTAACTTATTTATGCATGACTTCTATCTCTACTTTCCAAGAATTGCTAGATAGGGTTCCTAAATTTGAAAAACTGAATTTCATGAAGTCTGAGGGACATTCCGATAAAAGCAGAAGAAATAGACGTACAAACTCTCGAAGAAGCGAGACAAAATATTACCTCTTTAGACTCTGATAAAGAAAAACAACCCGTTTATGAGAAGGAAAAAAAAAGACAACCCATCAATTCTAATCCTCAACAAAATTTAGTTTTGTGAGGAAATGATTAGCCGAGGACCTTTGATGGGGGAAAGCGTCCGAATCAAAGGCAAAATGGTGAAGAGCGAGCATATCCTTTTTTAAAAGAAAAGATGAATAAAGAATATTCATTCAGAAGAGAAAGTGTGGCAAAGCTATTTCGACAAGATCTTAAAGCTGGCCTTGAATTGCCAGAATGCATAAGGCCTGAAGAGTCAGGTCAAACCAGCAACCCAAATTACTATCCATATCACCGGGTGGTTTTCCACCCGATTGAATAATGTTATTATGTCTTTAAAGATTGGCTGGAAAAGAAATGTAAATATGGGAAATTTACATTGTCCGACAATGTCCTAATTCACCCAAAAAGAGGAGCCAAATTGAGACGAGGAATGAGAGATTGTGTCTCAAAGAAAACCATGAAAATGTTAAAGCAGTTGAAAGGAGTCCCCTGTGTGACGTGGAAATCTCCTCTAGAACTGGAGCTCGAGTTAAATAGAAGACGTGGTAGGTACATCATCCTCTTCGTCAACCCAAATGCAGCCTAACAATGCTAGTTCATCTAGAAGTAAGAAGAGGTCTACGCAGGGTTCATCAAAGAAATCCAAGAAACCAGCCAAATGAAAGAAAACTAAAAAGAAAACTATGATGGTGAAGATCATTAAAAATTTGAAGGAATATCATCAACCAACAAAGAAGCCTGTCAGACTTGCAGAGTTCATGCATGGACTCCAAATTATTGATTCAAAGGACTTCTTATGGAAACTTGTCGAGTCATATCAGTGACCGGACATTTCCGAAACTGTCAAGCTTCTATGGTGTCTAAATCATGTTTGATGACATCACAATCAGATGATAGTTCACAAGATCTATGTTTTCCTGAAGAAAATGTGCCTTTATGACAAACTGAAAGAGGAATAACAAAAGGAACTTCTATGGAAAGCATGTCATCTGAAAGTTTTGATTTAGATGAGGTGGAAGACGTTCAATTGAGGAATAGTAAGGTATTACCTTCATCACTAAAAAAATGGTCTATCAAATAAAGATAATGGAAATGAAATTGTGGTAAATGAAGATATTCTTCTTAAAGTCCTGAAGAAGAAATCAATTTTAAGCAGACCCATCGATTACAACATTTTCTGATATTTGAGAAAGATTACTGCACAACTTAGTGTGTATGACGCTCTCTTGATGTCGAAAGTGCTCTGAGAAATTTTGATTCAAGCTCTCTAAGAGCCCGAAAAATATGAGTCATATTTTGCTCAAAGGTGTGTGCTGGAAGTCTTGCAAGCTCAGGATGTTCCAGCGATCATATTCTCTGAGGAAGTTCTCTTACTTGGGTCATTAGCTCATAATCGCCCATGTACGTTTCGACATATTGTAATGGTGCAAAGATAAACAAAATATTAGTCGATTCAGGTTCCGCTGTAAATTTGATGAGCTTGAAAGTACTAAAATGATTTTATTTTGACATCAGTCATTGGGGGCATGAAAAATTGATGATTCATGGTTTCAATGAAAAAGGCCAGAAGACTTTCGGAGCTTTAGTTCTGCCACTCACATTCGGTCAACCATATATGAAAGTTAAGTTTCACATAATTGATTGTAATCCTTTATTTAAAGCTCTCTTTGGCCGGCCATGTATTCATCGTACGACATCGTCCCATCAACTATACATCAATGCATGAAATATCTAAGAGATGGGAAAGAAATCACGATAGCTGGTAATGTTCGGACTTTTTCCGTTCATGAAGCTACAATATATGAAGATGCAAGATATTTTATGTCAAAAAAAGCCAAAATCTTCACAGTCTCCTAAAAGTACAAAGTCAACCCCCAAGGCTGCAAAGCAACTTAAAAGAGGAGAGAAAGAAAAACAAAGTGAAAAACAAAAGACAACGTCATCTTCCACGATGAACTATCTTTCACCTAAGTTGAACAGTGTCATTCCCCACTTAGGAAGTGATACAAAAGAGGAAGATGACACTCCCATAAAGTCTGATATAATATGTGGGTCTTCAACGAAATTGAAGGACCACTTTGATTATCTTGATGAAGGCTATGAGAATCAGTCAACTTATAAATGAAAAGCTCAATGTGTTTTTTTTAATGAGAATGACCAAATTGTCAATATCTGATGATTTACTTGCACTGATGCCAATCACACCTCATATTTCAAGGAGGTCACTCCTTGTGAAGCGCATGTCACTGTGGAATTGAAGACATTTTATGTACCCCCATTGTCTGGGAGTAATGTACGAGAGTCTTTATTTTATATGTCTGAGGAGTATTAATGCCAAGAGCTCGATTGATCTGTACAATGCCCTAAACTTGAAGAAATGATCCCTACGAGAATGTCTATCATCCCAGAATTCAAAGAATGATGCAAAAGCTAGGTGTTCATGTTGGGGTCACTAAACAATGAGCTAAATACTTCGACAGGATTTGGAATCCAAGAAGCCCGCAAGCTTTTGGTGATGATAATAGATGCACAACAAAAGGTCTTGGATTTACTCAGCGAAAATATTCTGGAAAAGCAATCTGTATGGAGTAACAGAAAATGAAACTGATGCCAAAGATGAAGATGAAGAAAATTTGTATGGAGTCAACTGTACAAATAATCAAGATGTCGATGCCAAGCCTACTCTAGAAGAAATGGAAGATGGTGGGCAAACGACTACCATTGATGAATTGAAGGAAATTAACTTGAGAACTGAGGATGGCCCTCGCCCAACTTCCGTCAGTGCACTTCGGTCTGAAGGAAAAATTGAAGAGATCAAAACATTGTTTTGTGAATTCAAGGACTGCTTTGCTGGGTCATAAAGCTGAAATGCCCGGCTTATCCCCTGATGTAGCAATTCACTAGTTAGCTATCAATGCAGATGCAAAACCTATTAAACAAGCTCCACGGAGTATGAGACTTGAAATTGAAGAACATGTGATTACCGAAACAAAGTAGCTCATTGAGGCAGGCTTCATACGAGAAGAGAAGTATGCTGATTGGATAGCCAACATTGTGCTTGTGAGAAAGAATAACGACCAAATTCTCCTCTTCATCGATTTTCAGGATCTTAATAAGCCGTGTTCAAAGGATAAATTTCCGCTTCTTGTTACATAATTGCTTGTGGACAACACTTCAAACTATGATATGTTCTTTTTTATGGATGGATCTTCCAGATATAATCAGATCAAAATGGCTCCTGAAGATGAAAAACATACATCATTCAGAACGTTGATTGGAATCTATTGTTGCATGGTCATGTCATTTGGTTCAAAGAATGCAAAAGCAACATACCAAAGAGCTTTGACTCACATATTTGATGAACTAATTCATTAAAAGGTGGAGTGTTTTGTTGATGATATCGTCCTTAAAAGTAAAGATCGTTGAGATCATTTGGAAGATTTGAGGATCGTCTTTGAAAAGATCATAAAATTCGATCTCAAAATGAATCCTCTTAAATGTGCTTTTGGGGTATCCTAGGAAACTTTCTTGGGTATATTGTACGTCATAGAGGAATTGAAATTGATCCCAATAAAATCAAGTCAGTTGTTGAGATGCCTCCTAAAAATTTTTGCCAGCTTCGTTCTCTGCAAGGACAGCTCACTTTCATTCGACACTTCATTTTCAACTTATCCGGCCAATGTCAGTCATTGTCAAAGTTGATGAAGAACGCTCCATTTAAATGAGACGTTGAATGTCAAGAGGTTTTGATAGTATTAAGAAATACCTCTTAAACCCACCCATTCTCTCAGCACCAATTCCAGCGAAGCCTCTTATTTTGTACACAACAACATTAGAGGAGCCCTTGGGGCTCTACTTGCTGAACACAATGAAGCAGGCAAGGAGAACGCACTTTATTATATCAGTCAAAGGCTTATAAGAGTTGAGATATGATATTCTCAAATCGAGAAACATTATTTGGCGTTGATTTTCGCTGCTCAAAAGCTTCGCCTTTACATGTTGTCTCACAAAATCACTCTCATCTCAAGCATCAATTCTTTGAAGTTCTTGATGACTAAACCAACATTGATAGGTCACTTGACTCGATAGGCAGTCCTGCTCTTGCAATTCTATATCATATATGTTATGCAGAAAGCAATGAAAGGAAAAATTCTAGCAAATTTTTTTTCTGCTCATTTTGTTCCTTCCTGCTGATTCTCTGCTCAACGATGATTTGTGTGATAAGCAAGTTCTAATCATTCAAGAGAATGAGGAACTACAATTATGGGA